GAGAGAGAGAGAGAGAGAGAGAGAGAGAGAGAGAGAGAGAGAGAGAGAGAGAGAGATCTAGATACATACACGATATTCTTATTGTTACTCAATGCCATTCTGATGCATGCTTTACGGTCACATGAATACTTATAACAAGATTATTAAGATTAGACTACCGGACGCGTAATCTTGAGGTTCCGGGTTCGGGAATATGAGTCTCAGCTCGGTCCACCGGTGTGTCCTTGAGAAAAGGCAATTTACATGGATTTCCCATTAGGCGTCGCCCTTTCGGAGATGGACGTTAAATTCGGTGATCTCGCCTCTTAAGTTACCTAATTATTGTGTTAATATGGAAATTATACGTATACCTTTTCACATTTTCACATTTTCCTTTTTATTTTATTTTCTCACATATTCTGTTCAGTTTAGTAAGAGTTTGACGGCATTTGCATCACTGTAATATGGTCATATAAGCGCAGCAGATTAGAGGCCTTATGAAGAGGAAAGATAAAGACGATAGCAGATGTTTGATAGGAAAAAAGGAGCAAACCACACCAAAGCACCCACCAACCACCCACGTATTGTATTATTCTGCTCAGAGATCGCAACTGTCACCGACTATGTTCTCGTCATCCCCATGAGCGACATCGGAGCTGATGGTGTACACAACATCTCCGTGACCATAGCAACTGCACAGACGACAAATGTATCCTTAACCCTGACGGTCTACGACGGCACGGTCAGCAGCGCGGCTCCCGTCAAGACTGAAATATCACGTGACTACCCTTACAGCTGGACGGTGCCCGCATCTCTTTTGATGACCTCATCTGGGGTACACAACAAGACATTCCGGGTGTCTTCTGTCGCCCCACTAGAAGTGATGCTGCTATACACCTCCTCCTCCTCCCCATCTCCTTCTCCCTCTTCCTCTTTCACCTCCAGCCTCGTCCTCATCAGCCCTGTGACGTTTCTCAAACAGTATTACGTCATAGATACGTCAACGGTTGCGTCTCCGGAACTTCTCTACGACCCCATAACGTCTGGTCAAGATCCTGACCTCTCAGAATCTGTTTCGTTTCTGGCTGTCGTGGCCGTAGAAGCTGACGTCACGACAGTTGTAACGGTCAAATTCCCCAATCGCCACTTCGTGATAGAGCCGATTTTCTCCGACTTCAGTGTTGGAAGCCCCCGGAAGACGCAAAGCAGCTTAGAGCAGTACGAGGCCTTGTACCTGAGAGTGCGACAAGATGTGAGTGGAACCATGGTGGAAGCCACGCACAAAGTGGCTGTGTTCGCCGGAAATATTCGGGTAAGTCAAATTTTCTGTGTTTGTTTGTAGGAAGTATTCTGGTAAGTCAAAGTTTCTGTGCTTGCAGCAAATATTCGAGAAGGGCAAGTCAAATTGGCTGTGTTTGCAGGAAATATTAGGGTACTTCAAAGTGGTTAAATTTGACATAAATATTTAATTTGGCTAAGTCTATGTGGCTGTGTTGGCAGAATATATTCGGGGAAGACTTTAGGTTGTCGTTGTCGTTGTTGTTGTTGTTGTTGTTGTTGTTGTTGTTGTTGTTGTTGTTGTTGTTGTTGTTGTTGTTATTGTTGCTGTTCTTGTCCTCAGTTTCGTGGTAGCGGACATGAGTGACGTCATCATCATCTTCGTCTTCTGCTCTTTTCGTTTTTTATGTTCCAGTTGAAACTGTCCAAGGTGGCCACCCACTATCGAGCAGAAAAGTGGATGTCTTTGACAAATAACTGTCTTGGACAGCACTGCATGTTATGATATTTTTAAAATGCAAAGGGTAAAGTGGAAAATGGTTGTTTGTACAGGTGACTGTTTTGGACAGGTGACCGTTATAGCAGATGCACCTAGAAATGTAAATGCGCCAAAGTGCAAAGCCTTACATATTAAAAATATAAGTCTATAGTCACATACATGTATTTAGAATGATGTATTGTTTTGTCTTTCTAACTAGGCCAACTTTAACGTGTCTTCGCCCTTCTTTGTCTTCTGTGTCTGTTTGTTTTGTTGGGATTTCCCCTTTGTTTACAAATTATTTTCTTACCTTCATTCTTAGCGTCAGGAGCCAACTTCCGGTGTGTCTAAGTACACATTACGTCAGACGATGCCTGCGGATCACATAGCTATGACGTATGTGACTCTGCCGTCTTACCATGACCCGGGGAGTTCACAGGATGATGTCAGCATAGATGATCTCCTGAGGATTCTGTCTGTGGAAAGTGATACCACAGTTCAGGTAGATAGGGGGAGGGAGAGGGAGGAGAGAGAAGGGAGAGAGGGAGGAAGGTGGTGAGAAGAGTGTAAGAGATGGACAGAGGGAGAAAGTGAGAGAGAGAGAGGGAGAGAGAGAGAGAGAGAGAGAGAGAGAGAGAGAGAGAGAGAGAGAGAGAGAGAGAGAGAGAGAGGAAGAAAGGAAAGAGAGAGGAAGAAAGGAAAGAGAGAGAGATAGGAAGAAAGGAGAGAGAGAGAGAGAGAGAGAGAGAGAGAGAGAGAGAGAGAGAGAGAGAGAGAGAGAAAGGGGGTGGGGTGAGGTGGAGGAAGAGCATGTAAAGTCAACAGAGAGTAAGACAGACAGACATACAGACAGACAAACAAACAGACTAGCTGACCCTTCCAAATACACAACAATTAGTTACTGGGTGTTGTTTTCCCCTTCTTTACTGTCAAACATCTATCTTCTTTATCTCTCCTCCTTCTTTTTTGTGTTTGCTATTCTCTTGCAACAACTCTAATCTTTGCCACTTACATGACTTAATCATTATGTTGCAAGTGCGTAAAATTCTTATTAAGACGATATCCAGTAAGGAAGCAGAATCGTTTAAAATTCTCCCTTCAACCCCCCCCCCCCCTTTAAAAGCGAAAATATGAATTAACATAGAGCCCCTGTAATCTCCCCCCCCCCCCTCCCTTTTTCCCATACATCCCCCCCCCCAAACCCACCTCACCCACTCCCATCAGATCACCAGCTACATATCAGGCAACAGTTCCTCCGTTGCCATGACAACCACCACCATCAACATCCCCGTAGCGACGACAATCCAAGACGCCTTGGTCTCCCGCTCAGCCATCAACGTCATCACCAGCGACAAACCAATCGTGGTCAGCAACCTCGGACCCTATGACGTCATCAGACACCTCCCAATAGCAAGCGATACGGACACATGCGTGACCTCCTTACTCCCTCTTCATCTCTGGTCAACAGAGTACCGAATCCAACTGCCCAAGAGGTCAGGAGTCACGACATGGCAGGCGATAGACTTTCTCATCGTCTGCGAGAACCCAGCAGGATATAATGCAGTAGCTGATCAACACGACTGCGGCCTCACTTTGAACGGCGAGAGTTTGAATACTTTGGACTCGGCTTTTTCCGTGAGCACTCGGGCGTCTCCGGAGTATTCTTCCGTCGGTATCCGGCTTGACCAACAGTCGGTTCCTACGCCCACCATGATGTTTGTGATCTGTTCGAGCTCTCCTATGTCCGCGGTTGTCCAGGCTACTGGTCAGTCTGTCAGAGTGTGTTGCCTGGCTGGGATAGACTGGACGTCCGAACCTACCACTGTGAGTATTGTTTAGGCCATGTTCTGCGCGTGGAGATGTGGGAGGGGTGGGGGTTGGATGGGGTTGTGTGGGGTTGGATGGAGTTGGAGTGTGTGTGTTGTTGGTTGCTTTTGGGTGGGGGTGGAAGAGGGAAGGAGAAGGCAAAAATAGTTGTTTTTTCTTCTTTTTTTTAAGAAAAGGGGGTGGGGGTATAGAACAGGTGGGACGGATGGAGGTTGGATGTTACTTTGTTCTTTACTTTTTCCTACATCTCCGATTTGGGTAAAACTCCGGCAGAAAAAAAAAGCTGACAGACAGGGTCGAAAAAATCCGCCCAGTAAATAATCTTAACTATGTCAATGCGAGCACAAAACATCTACAGTGATTTTCTTGTACATAAACACCAACTAACTAAAACGTTCCCACAAACAAATTATGACATGATAATGTACAGTCTAAACTGTCTGAGTCAGCCAGTTATTGTCGAGAAGAAAAGTGGCCTTCTTAAACAGGTGGCCGTCTTATACAGAGTCACTATAATAGTAGAAAATACCCAAGGGCGGAAATGGAAAGATGACAATATAATATACATGTGATTGTCTTACACAGGTGATCGTTAGAGCAGATTCGACTGTAATAATTGTCTCCACAGAGTGTGGATATCGCAACAATCTTCGCCACAGACCTCTCCTCTCTCGCTCCGACCGGATACGACCTCTTCACTGACCAGCTGACCACTTCGCCAACAACCCCCGTGACCACAGCAACAACAACCGATGACGTCATGTGTAGCTGTGTGGCCCAAGAACATAACATAACTCAGGAAGAAATTGACCAGCTCCAGGACAACATCAAGGGAGAACTGGAACTGCCTTCCAAGAGCACGTCGGCTTATAGGTAAATACTATTGAAGATACATGTATTTTACAACTCATCCGACACAAATTAGATCATTTAAAAAGTTGGGCTTTTTACCCCTGCCGGTCTGGGCCAATACTGCCGCTTTATGACAGAAAAACGTGCCAAATTTGAAGTTTTACAGGAGAGGCAAAAAAAACTAGCTTTTTGTGTGTGTTTCAACTTCACTACAAATGTAGTCGATCTGATAATAATTTTATGTAAAAATCCATTGGGCGGTGTAACTTTTGGCTGATTTGCTGGGGTATACAGTAAATAGTTATAGAGTAATTGATAAAAAATGTATTTTGTGTGCAATATCGATATGTAATTAGGTCACAACACAAATTTCCTAAAGCCCAAAACGTCCTTGATTTTAATTGTACAGCCTTAAAACCAAGATAGAAAGACGCACCATGAAGGGGGTTTTCTCCCCTGTATAAAAACGTTACTTGACTTCATTGCATAATACACGTCTGTTTGTTTTTTGTTGTTGTTTGTTTCTTTGTTTGTTTGTTTGTTTGTTTGTCAAACAACATAGTGAAAAAAGAAGTAGGATCTACCAGCTGCACTCCCCAAGCACCAGTGGCTTCAGCGTATAGATAAACTTTTATATATTATTTTACGGATACAATTGGCGTTTGGATCACTTTAGCTGATGAATACTTTCGGTTTTCAACAGATTTATGAATAACTTGAGCTTTTGAGTGACAATTAGTAACTTTGCCTTTTCAGTACATTTAGCTTTTGGTTACTTTAACCTAGGCATATATCATGTGACTTTAGCTTACGTATGTGTAACTCTGGGACATGAGTATCTTTGGCTATGGATAACTTTGACGTATTAGTCATTCAGGCTTAAACAGTACAAATTTAATGTACTACCCCCCCCCCTAAAAAAAATCTACAAAGGCTTTCTCAGAAGTTGTAGCAGTATAATGACAGAAAACATTGCAATAACTCTGTCTCCCCCACCCCCTCTCCTTTTCCTCTCCTTTCCATCCAATCTGTATGACGTCACCAGACGCACCCTCATATCAGCAGACGATGACCAGCGGCCGTCCAGTGCCGCCATGGGCTACCTGGGTGTGACTTTGTGCTCACTCCTGCTTGTCTCCATCGTTATGTGCGACCTATTTACACTGTTCACTTCCTGCACAGCTCAGACACAGACACATCGAGCGTGACCAAGGCATCCAAAAAAATAAATCCGGTATCCTCGGACGTGACCTATATACACTGGTCACTTCCTGCACAGGCACACTGGGTATGACCTACTCTCCCTGGACCCTTCCAGCACATCACGGATACAGAAACACATCTGGTGTGTCCTATTTAATTAGATCCCTTCCTGCACAAACACAGACACAGACCTTGACGCTCACAGACACAGACCCATTGGGTGTAACCTACTTACACCGGTCACTTCCTGCACGACACGGACGCAAAAACAGGCACGTCGGGTGTTCATTTATACTTACACTGGTCACTTCCGCACAGACACATCGGGAGTGACCTACATGTACTTACACTGAATAGGTCCAGTACAACACAGACACAGAAACTGACACCGAAACAGACACATGGTGTGTGACCTATTAACACTGGTCCCTTTCAGCACAGCGCGGACACAGAAACAGGCATATCAGGTGTGACCAGTGGTAGCCTACTACTATTTCCTGTTCCTGTGAGACATCACCACAACCTCATGACAGTGATCCCCACGGTAGTGACCCTGGAAGTTGCGCATGTGGTGAAACAGATCCGGGAGGGTGGAAGGTGGGGGGGGGGGGGTACACTTTACTTTTTACCAAACATTTCACCATAGTTTAGTTGGATGACGCGCATGTGAACATTTCATTATAATTGGATTGTTGTTGTTTTTTCTAAATGTGTTTTATGGCACTTGCAACACAATAATTCATATTAGTGCCGAAGATTACAGGTGTATATCAAGAGAGTAAGAACCCCCAAAAAATAATGAGAAGAGATTTATTTTATTTTTTAAGGAAGATACATGTACATGTTTGATAGGAAAGAAAGAGCAAACTACACCAGAGCACCCGATAACCACTCATCATTATGATGTATCACATCGCAAAAATAAGTATGTCTCTTAAAGATATTTGCAATTGACGGAGGTGGGGCTCGCTTTGTTTCAAATGTAAAATTAACTAGAAAATGGCAGCCAAAGTTTGGTGACTTCCCAAGCTTGAATGTCGTTGAAAACCGTAAATTTTAAAAAAAAATGTTGTGCCTTTGATCTTTGATCTACTTTTAGCAACAAAATCCACACAGAAATGTCATGTTTTCTACATAACAGGTGTTGGAGTATTTATTTTTTTTAATTAAAAGTTTCAAAATGATAAGAATTGCCCCACTGCCGGAAAATGCCGACGTTTTCGATCCAAATATTTATTAGTATTTTTGCTGAGTCCCTGATTTCAGCATAGTATTCTAATACACTCATCAATTATAATATTGGGGGGGGGGGGCAATTCAACATCTAAACAGCGTGTTATCTAAAATTGTTATGAAATCAGTTATTTTACTGTTATTGTCATAATAAACGATCATAGTTGCAACTTTACTGCCGACACGTTCGTTCTGCGTAAACCAGCTTTGTTGCTGTGTTGAAGTTGATGGAGCAGTTGATAGTACTGTGGTGCTGTAGTTTATAGTAGTGCTGTGGTGTTGAAGTTGTTGTAGGGAGTGTTTTTAACCCTTTATCTATCGCCATCGGATTATGCGATTGTGCGGCCGCGTTTTTTCGCTTAATTCTGTATGATTTGCATAATTTTGGATTCCCTGCGTTTTTCAGGGGGGGGGGGGGATGTTGCATTTTTCACCCAAAAATTTAACTAAACACCCTGCTGTGTGACTGAAGGGAAGTAATCAGAGTAATAAGTTCCCCTTTAAGTGATAAGTTGGCTGTTTCCCTTGTTATGGATTTTTCTTCCTTCAGCATGTTCAATATTTCAATCCATCAAAAGCAAGTTATTCTCTTGTCTGCTGATGTTTCAGGTTTGACAGATATCCCTGCTTTTAGTGATGTGCCAGAGGCAGAGGTCTAGATTTTTTTTCTTTTTTTTTTTTAAAATTTGTAAGATTATTTTTTGGGGTTGTTTTTTTCTGACTGATGTGTTTCTTTGCAAATACACACCAAAAAAAACTACTGATACTGATATGTTCTGTTTTCAGTTCCTCTGTACATTGATCTAAAACATGAAAATTCTTGTTGAAAAAGTGCAAAACATGTCGTGAATGTCGTTACGGTAACTTGCATAATTTTGGATAATTTTGCATTTGTCTTGCATAATTTGGCCATCTAAATGTGCATAATTCTGTGGGGACAGCTTTATATACCGTCTCCACTACTCATCCGTCTCTCTTCATCCTTCTCCCCCTCTAACAACACACCCTCCCTAACACCACCCTTCCCAACCACTCTACCCCTCGATAATCCCTCCTCCCATTCCACTAACATTCCACACCCAATCTCATTGCCCCGTCCCCTTACATTCCCAACTCCTTATCCCAC